GCTTCCATTCCACCACTCTCTCAATCCCAGATGCCCAATACCATTGATCTTTCCCCACAACACTCACCTGGCTTTACCCCTTACCACAACTACCCCAGCACTTCAACCCAAACTGTTCATGCTCCGCCAGCCAAAACAACCTCATACCCTGCTCCGACATTTGCTCCTATTTTTGTACCCCCTCCACAAGCTACCCTCCACCGATCCTCTAGTGAGCCCGCATTCCCCGCTACAGATGCCCACTACTATGCACCAGAGCCCACATTCAAAGTCCCGGATCCTTACTCTTACACTCCCCAATTTGAGCCTCATGTTGAAACTGACAAACCACCCAAGAACGCAGAGTAAGAAGAGATGTTTAGGAAGGTACAGAGTCTGGAGCAATCATTGAAAAATATGCAAGGGTTGGGAAACCAAGTGAGTGTGGCCTATAAGGATTTGTGTCTATTCCCCGATGTCCAATTGCATGTCGGGTTCAAGATGCCCAAGTTTGACTTGTATGACGGACATGGGGATCCTGTAGCTCATCTGAGAGGTTATTACAGTAAAATGAGAGGCGCCGGGGGAAAAGATGAATTACTAATGGCATACTTCAGCCAAAGTCTGAGTGGGGTAGCTTTAGAATGGTACACCCGCCAGAACGCTAGCAGGCGGTACACTTGGGACGATATGGCTCAGGCCTTTGCCTGGCACTTTCAGTACAATATAGACATTGTTCCAGACCGCCTATCTCTGAACAAGGTGGAGAAGAAACCCAGTGAAAGCTTTAGAGAATATGGGTTCCGATGGAGGGAGCAAGTTTCACGAGTCAATCCTCCAATGGAAGAAGACGAGATGGTTAAATACTTTCTTCAGGCCCTAGAGCCCACTTACTATGGACACTTGATCTCAGCCATTGGCAAGTCTTTCAATGATGTGGTGAAGATGGGAGAAATGGTGGAAGAAGGGCTCAAATCGAGTAAGATCGTGAGCTATTCTACTATAAAAGCAACCACCCAGGCAATCCAGAGTGGCACCGGAAGTTTGCCAGGCAAGAAGAAGAAGGAAGATGTTGCTATATTTGTCTCCGGATCATGGCATGGCCAGAGGAGTTCACCTCATCAGTACATCCATCCTCAACCCCGACCCCAAACCTATGCCCAAGCTCCATATAATCCACCTCAACATTACTTTTCCTCGCAAAACCCCCAATACTCAGCCAGGCCATCCCAATACCTTGTTCACCACGCACAGTCATATACTCAACCCCCTACTTACCCGCAATGGCGTACTCCAGCTCCGCAGAATATCTACCCAGCTCCACAAAATACCTATCCACCCCCACAACTCTATTAAAACCCCACTGGTTCAAATTTTCGATCAAGGCCAGAGTATAGGAGAGAGAGGCAGCAGCGGAAACAAACTTTTACCCCGCTTGGAGAGTCCTATGCTAGTCTATTTCAAAGGTTAAGGCAGTTGGACGTCTTGAGGCCGATTGAGTCAAAGATACCGAATCCCCCTCCAAAGAACCTTGATTATTCCCTAAGCTGCGCATATTGTTCTGATACTCCAGGGCATGACATAGAGAAGTGTTGGCATTTGAAACGGGCAATCCAGGAGCTCATTGATACAAACCAAATTGTAGTCCAAAGCCCAGATGCGCCAAACATCAACCAAAACCCTTTGCCAGCCCATGCAGAGATGCACATGATTGAAATAGTTCACAAGGACGGGGAGCTCAAAAGGTCTTCTAAGTCCGTCATGATGATTCGGGCCAGTGAAAGCAATTTGGTTAAAGCTCCAGACTCTACCAAAGCAACGCCCTTAGGGATGACAGAAAAGCCAAGCTCACCCAATTCGAAACCACCAGTGTTGGTCGTGAAAGGGCTGTCGAGAGATACAAGGGAAAGGCCGGAAAGTTCAAAAGTGCTAGTACCAGGGATTTCAAGTAAGCCTGTCATAGTTGTGAAGGGGGCTCCTACTACCCCTATCATCATTAAACTAGTAACCCAGCTTCCAGTGGTGGATGCCAAGGCTGTTCCGTAGAATTATAAACAAGTGATAGTGACATACAAAGGAAAAGAAATAGAGGAAGAAGTCAATGAAACTGGAGGATTGACTCATTCTGGGAGATGTTTCACCCTAGAAGAATTAAGGAAAGCCAAGCCATTCAAGGATAGCCCAATGCCAGTAAAGAAATCGGTCACTGAGGAAGAGGTTGAGGAGTTCCTGAAAAAGATGAAAGTGCAGGATTATTCCATTGTGGAGCAGTTAAGGAAAACACTAGCTCAGATTTCTCTTTTGTCTTTGTTGATACATTCAGATGAACATCGCAGGGTCTTGATGAAGATTTTGAATGAGGCACATATTCTTGATAAGATCACAGTGAACCACTTGGAAAAGATAGCTGGTAGGATCTTCGAAGCAAATAGGATCATTTNAACTTTCTCAGACGATGAACTTCCTAGGGAGGGTACAAAACACAACCGATCTCTTTATCTCACGGTGAAGTGTCAAGATTCTGTTGTCTCAAGGGTTTTGGTTGATAATGGCTCTAGTGCGAATATTTGTCCCTTGTCTACTCTGCAAAAACTGAAGATTGGCACCAAAAGAATCCACTTGAACAGTGTGTGTCTTCGAGGCTTTGATGGGAGAGGTAAAGATTCTGTTGGAGATATAATGCTCGAATTGTCGATAGGGCCTGTTGAGTTTACTATGGAATTCCAAGTGTTAGATGTGGTTGTCTCCTACAACCTGTTGTTAGGCAGGCCCTGGATACATGCTACTAAGGTTGTCCCATCTTCTCTGCACCAAATGGTGAAGTTTGAATGGGACACACAGGAAATAGTTGTGCACGATGATGAGGACTTGTCAGACTGTAATGATACAATTGTTCCATTTATCGAAGCTAAAGACGATACGGGACCTTGGGTCTATCAGACTTTCAAAACAGTGTCTGTTGAGAAAATCCCTGAAGGAAAATGCATTCCGGGTCCTAAGCTATCCTCCGCGCCCGTCATGGTTGCGAATGAAATGTTGAAGAATGGTTTTATCCCCGGCAAGGGTCTAGGCTCATCTCTGCAGGGTATTGTGCATCCAGTACGCCCCGGTGGGAATCTTGGTACATTTGGTTTGGGATTCATGCCCACAGAGAAGGACGTGAAAAGGGTTAAAAATCTGAAACAGAAGGTATGGTCGCTCCCCAAGCCCGTCCCACACATCTCTAAGTCTTTTGTCAAGCTAGGGATCGAAAAGCCTCCAACCTCCTCAATCCCAAAACCTATGGTCAATGTTGATGAAGAGCTGATCAAGAGGTTCCAAAGTCTGTTCGAAGAGGTCAATATGGTAGAAGTTGGTGAAAGCTCTAGAAAAGCAGATGTGTAGCTCGTTGGCCCAAACGTGAAGCTTAGCAATTGGGAAGCTACTCCTCTCCCTACTAGGAAGGAGTTTTGGTAGTTTGCTTTGTTTTCCTTTCTGTTATCTGGGTTATTCCAGGGTTGTAATCCAAATTTTTAGTTTTGCTTGTTTTGATGTTCCAACCCTTCTATCCTTTTATTTTCAATAAAATGCAATTTTTCGTTTTCTGTTATTCTTAATAGTGTTTTATTTTGTTCTTTTTTCTTTTGTATAGTTCTTTTTATGCTGGTTGCAGTGACATGACATGCATGAAGAGTTTTCAGCCGAGTCTTAAAAGCCAATCTAATTCTGAAATAACAATCCAAGAAGTAGAATATGATGATGAAATAGAATATGATGAAGAAGCAGCATTTGAGGAAATCAGTAAAGAGCTAAAACAATTTGAAGAAAAACCAAAGCCTAATTTGAGTGAGACCGAAGCAATCAATTTAGGGAACCAGGATGATGTTAGGGAAACCAAGATAAGTGTGCATTTAGAACTGCGAATTAAGGAGGAAATAATCAAAATATTGTTTGAGTACAAAGATGTCTTTGCATGGTCATATGACGATATACCGGGCCTGAGCACTGATCTGGTAGTTCATAAATTGCCAACTGATCCAGCATTCCCTCTTGTCAAGCAAAAGTTGCGAAAGTTCAAGACTGATATGAGTGTGAAGATCAAAGAAGAAATCACAAAGCAGCTTACTACAAAGGTCATTCGGGTCACTCGATATCCCACTTGGTTAGCCAATGTTGCGCCAGTACTGAAGAAGGATGGTAAGACCAGGGTCTGTGTTGATTACCGTGATCTTAACAAAGCAAGCCCAAAGGATGATTTTCCATTGCCGAACATTCATATTCTGATCGATAATTGTTCCAAGCATGAGATTGGGTCTTTTATGGACTGTTATGCGGGTTATCACCATATCTTGATGGGTGAGGAAGATGCAGAAAAAACAGCGTTCATCACGCCATGGGGAACATATTGTTATCGGGTAATGCCATTTGGTTTGAAGAATGCTATGGCAACTTACATGAGGGCGATGACCACCATATTTCATGACATGATACACATGGAGATCGAGGTTTATGTAGATGATGTGAATATAATTCAAAGAAGCAGTTTGACCATGTCAAGGACTTGAGGAAGTTTTTCCAAAGGCTCCGCAGATACAACCTCAAGCTCAATCCAGCGAAATGTGCATTTGGTGTCCCGTCTGGGAAACTGTTGGGATTCGTGGTTAGTATACGCGGCATTGAGTTAGATCTTTCAAAGATCAAAGCCATTCAAGAGTTATCGATGCCAAAGAACAAAACAGAGGTGATGAGTTTGCTTGGAAGGTTAAATTACATCAGCAGGTTCATTGCTCAGCTCACAACAACTTGTGAGCCCATCTTTAAGCTGCTAAAAAAGAATGTTGCGGTCAAGTGGACTGACGAATGTCAAGAAGCATTTGATAAGATTAAGAGGTACCTGTCGAATCCACCTGTGCTGGTCCCACTAGAGCCTGGAAGACCATTAATTCTCTATTTGACAGTCTTGGATAATTCTTTTGGCTGTGTATTGGGTCAACATGACATCACGGGAAAGAAGGAGCAAGCAATCTATTATCTCAGTAAGAAGTTCACTCCCTATGAGGTTAAGTACACTCTGCTTGAGAGGACATGTTGCGCCCTGACTTGGGTTGCACAAAAGATGAAGCATTATCTGTCGTCCTATACTACTTACCTCACTTCCCGCATGGATCCTCTAAAGTATATCTTTCAGAATCCTATGCCCACGGGAAGACTGGCGAAGTGGCAGATTTTACTTACTGAGTTTGACATTATCTATGTGACTCAGACCGCGATGAAGGCTCAAGCCTTGGCCGACCACTTGGCCGAGAATCTGGTGGATGATGAATATGAGCCACTGAAGACTTATTTTCCTGATGAAGAGGTCATGTGTGTTGACGTGGTTGACCAAGATGAAAATCCAGGTTGGAAACTCTTCTTTAATGGAGCTGCTAACATGAAGGGGATCGGAATAGGGGTTGTACTTATATCTGAAACAGGGCAACACTACCCTGTAACATCCCATCTCCGATTTCATTGCACCAACAATATGGCCGAGTACGAAGCATGCATTCTAGGTTTGAGGTTAGCTGTAGACATGGGAGTCCAGGAAATACTGGTTCTGGGAGATTCAGATTTGTTGGTTCATCAGATTCAAGGAGAATGGGAGACTCGAGATTTGAAACTCATACCGTACCGACAGTGTCTACATGATCTTTGTCAACGGTTCAGGTCGGTTGAATTTAGACATATTCCCAGGATTCATAATGAGATTGTTGATGCCTTGGCCACTCTGGCGTCAATATTACATCATCCGGACAAGGCTTATGTAGACCCCGTGCACATCCAAGTTCATGATCAACATGCTTATTGTAATGTGGTGGAAGAGGAAATCGATGTCGAACCTTGGTTCCACGATGTCAAAGAATACATTAGGTCGGGGGTATATCTAGTACATGCTACAGATGACCAAAAGAGAACCATTCGACGTCTGGCTAGTGGATTTTTCTTTAGTGGAGGAATCTTGTACAAGAGGACTCCGGATTTAGGACTGCTGAGGTGCATAGACGCTAAAGAAGCTGCAACTATCATGACCGAGGTGCATTCTGGAGTTTGCGGGCCACACATGAATGGGTATGTCTTGGCAAAGAAGATACTTCGAGCAGGTTATTATTGGCTCACCATGGAACGGGATTGTATCAGTTTTGTTCGGAAGTGTCATCAATGTCAGGTACATAGTAATTTGATTCATTCTCCCCCATCTGTGTTACACACAATGTCTGCACCTTGGCCCTTTGTTGCTTGGGGCATGGATGTCATTGGACCAGTTGAGCCAGCAGCGTCAAACGGGAATAGGTTTATTCTGGTGTCCATTGATTACTTTACCAAGTGGGTCGAAGCTGTAACTTTCAAGTCCGTGACCAAGAAGGCGGTGGTGGATTTTGTTCATTCAAGTATCATTTGTCGGTTCGGAATTCCCAAGGTGATCATCACAGACAATGCTGCTAATCTCAATAGTCATCTGATGAAAGAGGTATGCCAACAGTTCAAGATCATGCATCAGAACTCCACTCCGTATCGCCCCAAGGTAAATGGAGCTGTTGAGGCTGCTAACAAGAACATAAAGAAGATGCTTCGTAAGATGGTTCAAGGTTCTAGGCAGTGGCATAAAAGGTTGCCTTTTGCCTTACTGGGTTATCGCACTACTGTTCGCACTTCAATAGGTGCTACTCCTTATCTACTAGTATATGGAACTGAGGCAGTTATACCTGCGGAAGTTGAGATTCCATCCCTTCGGATCGTTGCAGAAGCTGAAATTGATGATGATGAGTGGGTCAAAACCCGGCTAGAGCAGTTGAGTTTGATTGATGAGAAAAGGTTAGCTGCAGTATGTCATGGTCAATTGTATCAGAAGAGAATGGCAAGAGCATACAACAAAAAGGTACGTTATCGGAAATTCGAAGTGGGCCAGATGGTATTGAAACGCATCCTTCCTCATCAGGCTGATGCTAAAGGCAAGTTCGCCTCAAACTGGCAGGGGCCATTCGTTGTGACAAGAGTGTTGCCCAATGGTGCTTTGTATTTAACAGACA